TTCCAGACTTTCAAGTTTCCAGATTTGAACACAAAGTTCAAGGTTAGGTTGTGCCTTGAAGGAATATTCAGAATTCGGGATCTAGAGTGTGTTTCAAAGCAATTTCAGGAGAGTTTCAATATCGTTTAGCGAAAACTACTAAGGTAATTCTGAAAAGTATACCAAGCGATTACTGAAAAATTAAAAAAAAAATTAAGGAAGATAATTGATCGAACTTGTTAGAATTATCGAGTACATATTTAATTTAAAGAACTTTCGGTTATGTACATCTGGAATATTTGAAAAAAAAAAATGGGAACCCAAATTCTAGCAATTTTGCCATGAGTATTTGAAACGTTATAGAAGCAGTCTTCACATGTAAAATCAATATGTTTGTGGTGTTCTTAGATATTCGATGATTAATAACCGAGACATTTTTTTAGGTTTAAAACGGAAAAAGACGGGAATTTCCAAATGAAAATTAAATGGCAATAATGGTATTGTTTTCAATCACATTATTTTTTAATCTAGGATCTTCAGGATTTTTATAAATCACAAATCTCTGAAATAAATGCTCCTCTTAGCTCCTTACAAATGTCGAAGCCTCAATTTTCTTAATCCCACTATTTAAGATTTCTGTTAGTACAAAGTACGGAGTGTTCAAATATTGTATTACTGCGAGATCTCCGAAATTACCCTAGAACTCATATTTCTAAAACAATGTCTTGCCTCAATCTCCCTCTATTTACAATTCATTCAAATTACCTATTCAACTCAATAGCGTTCGGCCTAGTGACCATACAAATATTCCATGACTAAGTTACTTAGTATCACGAGCAGGAGAAAATAACTTATGAATACCAAATTCAGGTATGATAACAGCATAACTGGAAACCTAAATCCGGAGTGATTTGAGATTTGGGCGTAATTGCATTTGTTAACAAACATGTCAATCACCGATTTCTCGCGAATAAAAGCTCAATCTCGAAAAGTAATAACACTATGAGGTAGAGGAATGATTCCTCTATCATTTGGTATAGTTTGTTTGTGAGATTGAGCTTTTATTCAAGAGAAATCAAAAATTGACGTGTTTGCGTACAAAAGCAATTACGCCCAAATCTCAAATCACTCCGGAAATACGACATTGATGAGCCTGACATAAGAGGTAAAATAGGGGAAATGGCTCTAATGTTGGCCTATGGATCTAAGATTGGGCCCATCGCTAAAAATCTGCTATTTATCAATTTTATCTAGATGAATGCGTCATTAGGACGGTACTTATGGTTATTTTTGGTCACTATTGAAAATTTAGTCGATTGCTGAATTTATGTATGGGCCCAAATTAGGGGCATTTGGGCCAACATTACATCCATTTCCCCTACCAAAAATAATACCTCAAAAATGCTCTACGAATAACGAACTAATAAATAATTTAGTTATTATAATATAATATTTGTTGATACAAGAATTCCATAATTTGTTATTTAAAAGGTCTTCTAATACCAATCCAATATATTTGTTTGGTGTTATTGTCTAAAAACTGAAAGATCATCTCCAGTTTTGTTATTACGGTATTTATTTGATATTTAACTGAATATGGTGCTTTCCCGATTTTGTCTACCCCCGATTTTGCCAGCTTTTTTCTTAATTTTGTCAGCCAGCAGATTTCACTAAATTTTTTAGATTTTAAACATGAATTCTCAAACTTTACGCTGTGAATGATTTTTATGATGTGAATGTTAGGGAAAGCGGGAGTAAAATGTGCATACGGGATAAAATTAACAATTGATGATTTTAAGTGCCTTTTCATTCAAACAGTGGGGTCGCGTAACCTCACTTTTTACCTGTGCACACACTTTCAAAACCAGATTCATATTCATACTCGAATCGGTTGAAAAATACTCTTAATCTTCTAGTTTACTCGAAATCTATCCATTGGAAGCAATATTTTGATAATTGTGTATGTTTTGAGAGTTGGTGCACAGGTAGATTGAGGTTACGGCGACACCACTGCATTCAAATATCAATCAATTCAACGCACAGTTCTTTCATCCCATGAACCTTTTACATTTTAATTCATTTGCATTAATATAATATTCTCCTAAATTGCTGTTTGCATTTTTTTTTGTTTTGCAATTGTAATAAAAACATTGCTTCAATTTTGCTGACAATTTATTCTTAGAAAATAAAAAAGTGCATTACATATTTTATTGAATTGTACATACAAGTTTTTATTGACTTTCAATTTTCAAGAGATTTTGCCATCGCAAATTCTCGAATTCAACGGAGATAAATAGCATCGTCAATTGAAAGGGACAATGCTTCAACCTAATCAGCCCTATCAGCTTTTGTTTTAGATTGGCGGAGAGGCAGTTTGGATTCCGGAAAGCGAGATCAACGGTGCATGCAATTCGGACAATGGTCGAGAGAGTCGAGAAGGCATCCAAAAAGAAGCGTCGAATATGTCTGTGAGAATGCTTCGAAGGCCATCAACACAATAGCTAGAATCATGCTGAACTACTCTATTCCTCGCAATATCAAGAGACGTCTTCTGGCTAGATACCTAAGGAAACTGAGCTGTACGTTCTGGCTCATGGCCATGCGAGTCGTGAGTGCTTACAGAACCATCTAATCGGAAGCAGTATGCTATCGGCATCACCCGACGGAGGACAGCGAGTGCTACAGTCGGAGAGAAGCCGGTACCCGAGCAAAGCTGGAGATCAAATTGAAATCAAAATTTGCTGTTATGATGTAACTTATTTTGAATACTCCAGTTGTTCTCATATGGTTGACTTAAGCAAACATGAGAGCACTGTTGAATCAAACGGAAAACTAATCTTGCTTTCAATGAAATCAATTTGATTACTGATTTTGCATTCATAATGTTTAACTAAATACCCTAACTAAATTGGTACCCAATACTAACCTACACAGCAAAAAAAATTGTAATATCGATCAACGTAATTCAAGCTGATGTATGAAATAATGATGTAATAGCAAAAAGCAGATACAATATTACATCAATGGATGTAATTTTGTTCGCAAAATCGATGTACATCCTACAACTTAATATTACACAACCGGCGGAATGATCTCTGTGGAGCTGTTTGGATGTAATATTCAACAACTTTTTTTTTTTCTGTGTAGATTTACTGCTGTTTAAAATGTTAATTAAAAAATTACGGATTTTGGCTCCGCAAAGTGTCACACACGACTGAGCCTAGTAAATAAATGAACTAGTTAAAAAAGTGGGGTAAAACGCACCCCGGTGTTATATGACCAACAGCGTTTTTTTCTCGTACTATTAAAATACTAATTGATATAAATAATTTCCCAGATGACTGTTCTGCAGCTCTTCTAGTGATTATGGGTGAAACTCCATTAAATTTGTTTTGCAAAACATGTAAATAAGCGCTGTTGGTCATATTATCCCATAGCACCCCGAACCCTATAAAAATTTCATTATTCTGTAATAATTTTGATCACATAAATAATGCGAAAAATTTTCCCGATTTTGTCAGCCTAAAATTTGAGAAGGGACTGACAAAATCAGGAAAGCACTGTAATATCAAAACAAGGTTTTATACCACAATCATAACAAAATAAGGTATCATACCTCGTTAATATATTCATATGTTATCGGTTCTTGCTCAGGATGTGCTGAGCTTAGAAAAGTAATGCAAATTTATTTTTCTAAGTAACTCGATAACAATCATTCCACATTTGAAGATTACTTCAACCTGACGAGCAGGCTAGACTCAAAGATTTGTAATTATTATTAACTGATCTATAACTGTTGGATGATTTTAAAACGTATATAAAGGATTACAACATTATAAAGATCAATGATTTTTTAATATATCAAGTGAGCCATATAAGTTAGCAAATTTGCACTTAGTGAACAAATAAGCATTGAATACTTTCGTTTTTTTTTTTGCTGAATGTCATAAACCGAGAAATTTGTGAGAAATGTAAATTCACTGAGAGATCATCCAGTTAGTTGATATCGAGTAAGAAAGATTTGAATGCACTGCGTTCAAACAAGAGCTCTTGTATCATTCTTCTTCTAACTGTGTTTTGACGCTCTTAAATAAAAGACAAGTGATGAACCAAGCTGAAAAAAGAGCTTTCGCCTGTCCTCAACTTAGTGTTCTTGAAGCACTTCCAGTTATTAATTGAGAGCTTAGTGTATATTATGTGGCCAGCACAATGATACTGCATGCCCAGAGAAGTCGACGAAATTTCCAACCCGAACGATTTCCTAGACCAAACCAGGAATCGAACTCACCACCTGGTAATAGCGTGCCTTTTCTCACTATGCTAACTGAAGGTCCTAAGCTCTTGCATAATATTATATTAGTTATGCACAGTCAGCCACAATAGGTATCATCCAAGATAGTTCTAATCTGGCCTCAGCATAAAGCTCAGACCGTGAGTTTTGTTGTAGTCCCAATTCAAAAATTAAAAGTGTAAGAGAAGGATTAATCTCGTCAACCAATAATTATGTTTAATAATACACAGTGGATTACCATCTATCAATTAATTAAAGCATTTTCATTTGCAAACAAAAGACGGTGTTCTCTCTATCTTCCCTTGACATTGCACATGCCACATCCGCACTTGCCTGCTTGCATACTGTTATGTCACAGATAGTCTTATTGCTGTCCCCACCCATGCCCGATCGCTTAAGTATTCAATGCAACCTTCCATAGCTCACCCGCCGTCGTCACTTTACAATCAGGTTTATGATTCATTCATTTTTTCCATCGTTTGTAGAATAATAATGCCCAGGGGGACCGGTGAGGAGGAAGAAGGTGTCCGTTTGTTGTTCTTACCTCGATTTCTTTTTGCGGTTTTCTCAGCAGCCGTCTACCATAACAAAACTGCACAACTAAATCCATGTTGTTTTGCCTTCGTTGTGTCCTCCCCCACACCATTTCCACCCGAAACATTGTCTCGTTTTCGCCGTAATTAAAACTGTTCCTCTTCCTGTGTTTTTCTATTCCATTCGTATTATTTAGCGATGGCGACGTCGTTGGTTTACGCTGAAACAGGGCGAATTGCCCGGGCAGTATGTGCTCGAGTATTACACGGATCGCAAGTGCCGGAAGTTGAAGGGAATCATCGATCTGGATCAGTGCGAACAGGTGGACGCAGGGCTGCGGTTGGACCGGCAGAAGGAGAAGTATGCACACATGTTTGACGTGAAGACTCCTACGAGGACGTACTACCTGGCAGCGGATACGGAGGAAGATATGCGTGGGTGGGTCAACTGCATTTGCCATGTGTGCCAGCTGCAGGAGACGCAGACCAACGAGGAGAGACCGTACTATAACATCAATGCGATCAACACCGGCGATGCAGTGAACATGGCAGCGGACGTTCCAGGGAACTGTTCGGGCAATGATCATCAACAGGACCATTCTAATGAAACGGAAATTTCGTTCTTGAACCACTCGTCTCAGGGAGAGGTGCATGAGGTGCAACCACAACCGAGACACTCCCTGATGATGGGATACAATCCTTACGGTACGTACCAGAATGAAGAGATGTTGAACTTACGAGCTTCGGAGTACAGTAATAGGGAAACGATTATCAGCGATTCGAAGTTGAGCCACCAAAATCATGCTGCAAGGAATAACAATGTAGAAGCTTATTCGAATCTGGGTACGATCGAACGATCTCAGTCGTTACGTGGGAAGCCAACTTCGCCGGAGAAGGGAGCCACGGGTCCGATTCCGGTGGCGAATCACATGCGAACTCAATCGCTCAACTCGGATCAGAAGACTATTGCTTCTGTGGTGGCTAATAGCGTTAAAAAGATTCCGGAAAATCTGAAACTGAACGAGCGAATGGCCGCAGGTTTCGAAAGTGGCACTGAGCAGCCTTCTCCGGCGTTGAGCACCTCTTCTGGACCGTACATTCCGATCCATGAGTGTTTCTCCGGCAGTCCGATGCAGCATTCACCAATAACTCCGCTGAACTCGTTGGATCCACGATTCTACGACACTCCAAGGAGTCATCCGAGTTCCGGTTTCAATCTGATCAACAATGAGCAACCTTACTCCCCGAAGCGGAACAATGTGAGCGGCCCGGCTCAACATGGTAACAGTAGCTGTTCCAAGGTGTCTCGTAGTGGTAAATCGAGTCCATCGGATTCGGAGAGCGTCTTTACGGATGATGAGAGTGCCGCTGTTGTAGCTGATCCACCCCGAACCAAGGACCGCAATACCAGGCCTTCGGACAGTTCGATCGAAAACGATGCAATTGGGTGGACGTACGTCCAAAGGTTCGCCCGAGTATCACAGGATGACCAATCGAAGGCAGCTGGACTTCCAGCTGCACTGGCTCCGCCAAGACCACCAAAGAGAACCAGTTTGATCTTGGACAGCATTGAGAAGTGAGTTCTAAACGTGGGAAACAGTAATTTTGAAATACTATATGACTCTTTCATTCTTAGACATAAGGAGATCCAATCATCCGACACCGAGAATGCTTCTCCAGCCATTGGCCCGAAGGACGCTAGTTCGGTGAGTGTTCTTTGTCCTACATAAATCATCAAAACACGTACCTATTTGGTATCATGCTCCCAATTTCAGTGCGTAGAGCAATTTTACGACATTCCTCGATCGCACCAACCGGGGCAATACATCGGTGGCAGTAACAAACACCTGCCGGACACGGATCTGCTTTCTCCGATCAATCAGTGCGATCTGATTGCTTCCAGTACGCCGAATTTGGTAGGTGGCAGCATTGTTACCGGTGACACCAATAGCCAATGTGGAACTTTGGGCCGTGCGACATTGCGGCCCCACTGCTACACCAATGCCGCACCGCAGCGCGTCGAAGGCAATGTCTTTCGGTTCGATTTTAGTGAACAGGTAATTAATTGCTCGTCGCCGATACCTTTCACGGATCCGAACACAAAAAGATAATTGTATGTATTTTCTCATTTTGCAGGGTGACGCACCGGCAATCAATCGTAATTTGAAACCAAAATCCACTGTCGACATAACGAAATCGGTCGAGAGTGTGAACCAAGCGTTGAAGCAGGTCAGTTTGACACCCGCGGTGGCGGCGACGACTCCATCGGTGGCACTGAAGAATCCTCCACCGACGGTCGATCGGACGAGGAAGCCAACCACTCCGCAGGTATGTGATGTTCTATGGATGTTTAATGGTCACAATGTAGTAATTTGAATTCAACGTTTTAGATTGGTACCAATTCCATGCGGCGCAAGGGAGGACCCATTTCGCTCAATATCCAAAATCACAACGAAAACGTCTATGGAAATACCCAAGAGCACAGCATGCAGGTAAATAACTTATGGAGACTTGTAAGCCGTTTTAAATATGTCCATATTTGGTTTGTATAGCATGATGATGTCGGCCTAAATGTTCCTAATATTGAGTTCATGTGTACATTTCGAAGCAAAGCATTTTTGATCAATTTATCATTAGTGATCAATAGACTTTTGTTGTGGTGCATATTACTCATCGTACTCATCACTTCGAGAAACATGATGTCAAATCGGACCCATTTTATTGCCAGAACCGGACCGTGACAAGAGAAAAAATCAGATCGTGCCAAAATCGAACCGTGGAGTCTTTGGTATAATGCATTGTTCTCAAACAGATTGAAGAACATTATTTTTTTAACGATGGCAATTTTTAGATCCATACACTGAGGAAATAATTCGTTTGAATTTCATACGAAATGTTTATGGAATTTAACCAAAAGAATTTATTTTGAATTTCATACGATAGAAATATGAACGAACACCTCCGTTATCATTTATGTTTTTTGAAATAGACAAATATAGATTTCATAAATGTTTCGTATGAAAATGATACGTTATTATTATGAAATTTACGTTTCGTTCGTATGAATAAGAAACAAGAGGAATACGAAATGCAATCGAATCAACTATGCAATTCTTCGTGGCTATTCCTGTGCATTCTGGTGTTCGTTTTTTCTTGCAAATAAATTATATACATGGAAACAAACAATCAACTTCTCTAGTAAAACACATTGGAATCTCAAATTCATATTTATTTTATAAACAATTAGAATTGTTTTTGATTTTTTGTGTTGTAATCACTCAAAAAGTAACTTTAACTTTAGAAATTCACGTCCAAATTAAATCGCTCTTCTGGATCTACCAGTGCGCGGTAATGCTTGTTATTAAAGCCATACACTATCATTTCAAAAATGTATTTAGGATCCGGAATATCATTTAGAATGGGGGGAGGTTGTTCATTGAAACTTCCGGTCCGCTTCGTAGCATAGTGCTTGCTAAGATGTGCCCCACTGATTACCTGACGAATGATTTGTTCAAAACAAAATAATATGGCGTACGAGCCGAAATTACTAGCGTATGTCAAAGTTCTGGTGGAAACGTGGGCTGTATTGAAAGGTAAAAACGCTCAATTGTAAATGATATTCCGGATCCTGTAATTGTAATTTATCAGCCCTCACCATGGTGGCCACTACCAACCCATCGTGTTAGGTGAGGACCTACCAAGCCTAAGCGTTAACACATGCCAGACCGTATAGCATGCCGCAATCGTGACTAGCCGGCGCAAAATGTCCAAACTAGTACACCGATACATTAAATAGGGATATAAAAAAACGCTATGGCTGGTCCGTACGGTATACCAATACCTGCCACTAAACATTGACCGTTCCATAATTGGTTGAACCGTGCGGTATATTAACACCTGAAATTATACAAAAACAAATGACATATTAGCACACCCCCGAACAACCCCCCCCCCCCCACCCATATACCTGAAATTATGCAGAAACAAATTAAACATTAGCACCAAATCCCCCCCCATTTGCAACAGCTCCAAGCCATGCAACAGGATCATTTCGTGCCCCATGACAACTTGATTCAGTTGCTTCCAGGTTCATTGTTTTGGCGCCAGCCGGGAGAGACTTGGTCCTGTACCCAATGCTTTCCTTGTCTCCATTCCGCTCAGCTACTCTTCAGATTGTGATATAGTGGGCGGAATATTACAATGTGAGACAATTCAATGCAGACGTCTTCCAAATTTGGCCGATCGTCAGGTAATCAGTGGGTTACCACCTGGCACCTCTTAGCAAGCACTATGCTACGAAGCAGACCGGAAGTTTCAATGAACAACCTCCTCCAGAAATCATCAAGAGAAGTCATTGTTTACAAAAGCTGCTAGGCCCTAATTCCAGGCCTATCTAGATATCACTCTTTTCACCAGTGACAGATACAAAATCTTGTGAAAAATTTAGTTTACGGGAAGATGGTTTTTCTTGGTTTTCTTTGTAGTTTTCCTTCACCGTGAAAAACATTTTTCAAATTAATCTGAAAGCTTAAAGGACAAGGTTGATACAATCCACAAATGGCCGTTGTCATGGCTGATTCGCCTCGTATAATCAGCCATGATCGCGGACATTTGTGGTTTCTATCAATGTTGTCCTTAACTAAACCGGGAAACTTAAGACTACTTTTTTTTTAATGTTTTGATCATTTAGTCTGAAATCCTCGGGCCAAACTTGTCCGAAAATAAAAATAAAAATCCCCACAGCCGTCAACAATTTGCCTGTTAACCATGATTACACTGTCACAATTAATCTGTACGCTTTGACTGCACACAGTTCGACGACTCTACCCTATTTGACATAATGCTATTTGTAATAATGTCGTTTGGTATAATGGCAATTTGATGAAAAAGAACTCTATTGATAGCAAAGATTACAACCTCTGAAGAAAGGTTTGTGTATTTGCTCATTTTGCTATGCGATGTTTCAGCCTTCACTCAAGCACAGCGCTACTTGGATTCTGGCAAAGTTGCCAGTCTTCTTGATACTTGACAATTAATCTGTACACTTTGACTGCACACAGTTCGACGGCTCTACCCTGATATAATGCTATTTGTAATAATGCTATTTGTTTGATATAATGCTATTTGTAATGATATCATTCGGTATAATGGCCATTTGGCATAAATGTGAAAAAGAACTTTATTTAAACCGTATTTCGTCTAGAATTGACCAGGCCCTTCGTTGTGTTGCTTTTATCAGAAGACGGTTGCTCCAGCGTTCCGAAGACAGACTTCTAGCGAACTGAGGACTCGTGCTTTTTGTGGCATCCGAGAGGCAGCGCATTTTCGCCCTTTTCATACCATATACAAGAATCAATTTATGCGCAAATAATTACATTCGAAATGTTATAAAGGGTGTCCACGATGAAATTGCCACACACAAAATTGATTCGCAAAATTCGAGTTTTCATCCGATTGCCATCAAATTTTCAGGGATTGAGAAATAACTATTAAACTTCATTTTACCATTTTACTCGTATTTTATTTACAGTCCATACGCAAATGCCCGCACCTTGGCCTTAACCCCGGCCATAAGATTCTGCACAACCTGTGTATCAACCGTTTTTTGCATGTAAACCCATACTTTCTTCAGTTCCTCGACTGTCTTCACTACCTTAGGTCGTTTAAGAAGGTGCTGCTTCATAATCGCCCAGTACTTCTCGATGGGGCGGAGCTCCGGAGTGTTGGGAGGGTTGAACATTTTCGGCACGAAATTGACCTTATTGTCCGCATACCACTTCAGCACGTCCTTGGAGTAGTGGCATGAGGCCAAATCCGGCCAGAAGATTGTTGGGACGTTGTGGGCCTTCAGGAGAGGAAGCAGCCGCTTCTGGAGGCACTCTTTTATGTACACCTGTCCGTTCATCGTGTCCTGGGTCACGAAAGGTGCACTCCGCTTCCCGCACGTGCAGATGGCTTGCCAAACCAGGAATTTCTTCGCAAATTTGGACATCTTCTGAGTGCGGACATGCTCCGGAACGCTGAACTTATCCTTGGCCGTGAAAAACAGGTTGCCGGGGATCTGTTTGAAGTCGGCCTTCACATATGTTTCGTCGTCCATGATGCAGCATTCAACTTTCGTCAGCATGTTGAGGTACAACTTCCTGGCACGGGTTTTGGCGGACTTGTTCTGCTTCTCGTCGCGATTAGGGGCCTTTTGTACCTTGAACGTTCGAAGCCCAGCCTTAGTTTTGGCCTTCTGGACAAAACTTCGGCTTAGGTGCAGCTTCTTAGCCACATCCCTAACGGAGATGTAACGGCGTTCGGATTTCGGTTGAAGGCCCCAACTACGCGGTTGTGATTTTTGGTGTTGTACTTTTTCCTTCACTTCTGGGCTTCCGATCGGTGGTCAACCGTTCCTCGAACCGCTTAATCACTCGCGACACCGTGGAATTCGCGATTCCCAACGTTTTAGCGATGGAACGATGCGAGAGATCCTTGTTCTCGTGATGAATGCGCAAGATTTTATCACGCACGAGCTGTTCTTTCGACTCCATTTCCGCGAGTTTTGATCACAGGACTTTAAAACTTGCAGGATGTAAATAATGCACTATGAACTAAATTCACCGAAATTTTATTAAAATTCTACCCAACGGTTAAAAAGTTAGAGCAATTTCATAGTGTGGCAATTTCATCGTGGACACCCTTTACAATATCAGCAACAATGTCTTTGTTTTGCGACACTATAATTTAAACGTGTAACTATTATTTGATGCTTTTATGCCAAACGGCAGTTATGCCAGATCAAAAACATTGAAAGCTGAATTGGAGCTTATCGAGGTAAACAATAACCCCTGCACCTAAATAAATTGCTTATTCAACTTTTAATCAGCTGAACTGGTTAGTTGGGAATGGCCGTTATGCCAAATGGGGTAGAGCACAGTTCAACAATCAAAGATCCTTTGACTGTTTGTAGACAACTGCACACCGATCACACTAAAAACTTAATTTTATTTGCCGAATCTCGGCAACTTTTGCTGAACATTTTTTCTGAGATTTCAGCAAAAGTGACGTTTGATTGCTGAGTATAGGAAAATGTTTCACTGAATTTCAGCTAACAGTTTGATTTGTGTTCCGTCGATCTTATTTTCCGTACTGACGCCAGGGAGGCAGCTCCCAACCCACATCTGGACTTAATCTATCGACCCCCCCTGCGCTGCTGATTTCAGCTAACAAACATAATGTTTGCTGAGATCTCAGTAAAATGTGTTGCCGACCAAGTGCTAGGACGATGAGAACAAAAAGTTCACTTTTACCCATATGAACTTCAACGGGCCAGTGCAGTATGAGCTTGGTGAAGCAAAATCGATATTTTGAACCAGTCTAGTATACATATAACTTGGAAAACCAACATTCGATCCGAGTGTCATATTCCAATCTATTCAGCTCGACGAGATCGTTCCATGTCTGTATGTGTGTGTATGTTATTTTTGTAAGACATGTTTTTCGGCAAGCACATCACTAAATTGAACGCAATAAGTGCCAAATAAAAGGCCCCGTAGCCCTTTGGAACGCAACTGAATATTTTTTGTCTAGAACCGTGAATGTATCATGCAACACATCAAAACACATGAGAATTCGTAAACAAGTTTATTGGTAGCCATATTGAGTGCCCAGCAACACATTCGGACATGTTCCGGGTACTCCCAGGTGGCGGCCAGTGAGACAAAACAAAAATGGAAGATAGGTGGGGCTTATTACGGATGTCACTTCACGGTGAAAACTTGTCACTTTTCGTCACGGTGAAGTGATTCCCATTTGATTTGTACGGCAATCACGGCTCTTATTCTGAGTATCACTTCCTTATCACCGTGTAGTGACACCCGTAATAACAGTCGCTAAAATGAAAGGAATTGTGGAACGCTTTTCAATATTTTTGATTTCAAATATGAGAGATATGGTTGGAACATGTGCCGGCGAAAACGGGTTATGAGTCTAGATTCGACCTGACACGTGTCAAATACATCAGGCGACAAATAAAATCACTTGGGAATTTAAAAACAAGTTCAAGTTCTGACTTGGGTCAAAAACCATCATGCGAAACATGAGAATTCTAAAACAAGTTCAATGTTAGTCATATCGGTTGCTTCGAGGGAAGTGGCCTGTTTCTGATTTGTGCCAAAACTCATCAAATCACATAAGACTTAAAAAAAAAGGTAATTGGTAGTCAGATGGGGTACCCAGGATAATATCCAGACATGTTACGAGTGACCTGGAGAAGTGACAATTTTCTTACATCTAAAGAAACCCATCGACACATCAAATAACATAAGAAAAGAATAAACTCATTGGCTGTCATATTGAGCTCCTACCCGAGCAAAGTTAGAGATCAAATTGAAATCAGAATTTGCTGTTATGATGTAACTTATTTTGAATACTCCATTTGATCTCATTTTGGTTGACTTAACGGTTAACACAGCAAAAATGAGAGCAACATTTTGCACTGTTGAATCAAACGGAAAACTAATCCTGCTTTCAATGAAATCAATTTGATTACTGATTTTGCATTCATAATGTTTAACTGAAGACGGGCCTGGCGGAAATGGTTAGCATCCATGCTTTTCACACCGAAATACTTTAACTCAAATCTCACCTCGGTTTAGTCACGAATGACCTAAAATGTGTTAAACAAAACAAATAAACAGTATTCGTTAGTTCAACAGCATATGAACTTAAATCAGATTTTTAACAAGAAATTAACAGCAGAATTACTAGTTAAGTTAGTTAGTTGACTGCATAATGAAAGCACAATATGAAATCAGACTTCTGTCGCGACAATTGAAAGCAAAATGAGTTTTCATAATGATAGGAACTGCAAACTTTAATATCGATTTGCTTTCATTTTTTAAATCGACCGCTCAGGTAGGCCCGTATTATTCTGTACTGAACTTCATTTAGGTAATTCAATTACTTCTTTTCCCTGGGCGGACTTGAGCAATTTAGTCGGCATTTGAATAAGTAAGAATCCACCATAGGTGGATACATTCAGGTTTTTGTTTGTTCCATGGTGTAATGGTTAGCACTTTGGACTCTGAATCCAACGATTCGAGTTGAAATCTTCAGTAGGTTTTATTTTACTGATTTTGTTTCTCACGCCAATCAGGTACATAGGGGAAATGACGGCTTCGGCATGACAGACTATTTTCGGCAACCCAAATTGAAACACTATTTTCACTGGATTTTCTTACGAAAACACTTCGCTGAATGCATGCAAACGATTCTTTATGCTTTCAGCTTCAATTTGACTATATTTTTACCACTGAGAAAAAGCAATCTAGCAGGGTTTTCTTGAAATGAATGAAACACACGCACTACAAATTGTAGCTGATTTCGAGTTGCCGATAATAGAACAGCAGATTTACATGCAGTTCAAATGGAACGGTTGCCGAAGAAAAACTGGTTGCCGACAATACTCGCTCTCACTAGAGAAGATTGGAGCTTTGTAAAAGCGTTTCAAAACAGTTTTTGACAATTCTTTCGACTGAAATTGTTAGAGCAGCTGGCAGCAAATGTTTGTAAACAAACCAATACTGCACATGTGTGCGTTCCATAGAGAAAAAGGCTATAGAAAGAAGGTCGCTGCTTAGGTTGCCGAGAATACGTAAATTCCCCTATATGGAATTATTAAATCCATAACTCATTAGGTTCTGGAAGACTTGTACCTATACAACATATCTACTTTCCCTTTTCCCATTGCAGCATCTATCGGGCATTTCTCCACGTACTCCCGGAAAAAACGACGACCGTTTGCAGTATCTCGACCTTGATCATTCAAACAGTCCACAGAAACCGTCCAACCATCACGGTGGACTCGGTGGCCATTCGGGAACTAATCACATCGGTAGTAACGGCCCCGGTGGTTCCAGTAGCTTAGCTCCTCCACCCGTCGCCCGAACACCCTACACGACGGTTGATTTCGTGAAAACCGATGCTCTCAACCGAATCCGTGAGGACTCGGAAGCCAATCGGAAGCTGAAGGACTAAGATTCGAACGTAAGTACCGACGCATTCCATTAACCACTTCCCCCCTAAATTGCCGAATCAAATCAAAACGCACAAATTGGGAAACGCTACATATTTTCAATTCTAATTATCTAAAAGTGCAATTATCTGAATGCCTTACAACGTAAAACTGAAACAAGCCCAAAACAAGACGAAAAGCACAAACCAGTCTTTGCTGGAAAGTGAATTGAAAAAAAAACGAACTCTGTGATTTCGAAAGGAAATATCACATTAATTTTTCCTTGCAAAACAAAACGAAAATGAAAACCTATCGAACAAATTAAAGGTAGAAGACACGATCGTCGCACGCACAAAGCGAACAAGTATTTTTCAACCTTGCAAGAAGAGGTTCGAATTGTACAACGAATTCAATTTTCCTATAATACTACACACCATGTTGAATAGAACAATTATCAAAATGTATAAGACTATATCCCTCTGTGTATAGCCGTCTGATTGTTTTTAGAAAAAGAAAAGAAAAAAATGTTTTGTAATATTTTGAGTATACTTTAGTTAGGCACAAAATATCAAACTATGTACTTGTCTTAGTCTCAATTCTATATTCACGTTCGTATATGTAAAAAGCATTACTCTAGACGCTATTCAGATTTTATAAAAGTCACCCGTTGATTAGAGAAAAGTTAACTCTTGGTAGGGAATATATTGTCACTAGGTAAACTTACGCTCGCTGATTCTAATTTCATATGTTAACGCATAAAACATTTCAATAGACGTCAGCTTCAAAGTGTAAACGAGTACAGATTCTTTATCCGAAATTCCTTTAGAGAGGGAAAGAGTAAGGAAGGCTGTTGGTCGAATCTACGCCGAATTATACGAAGAATTATTTTCCAATGGTCTCGGACAATCGCTTCTTATCCTTCTTATCGTCGCTTCGTTAAGTTATCCTCAAAATCTGCAAAAATACAACGAGTACGAGGTATTCCCCGGAGTCGACGACCTCGTCCGGGTTCTTCCAGGAGAAGTTGGTAGAAACATTCGGAGGTAGTTGTATGAACCTTCTGGGGTCAGTTAAAATACACTTCAAGCTAGATGGACATCTGGGGAAGTCGGAAGAAAGTTCCGAGAGATGTTTAAGTAAAAATTTGAATGAAATCTGGGAGAGGTGGAAGACACTTCCAGGGGTAGCCAATAGGACTTCAAGGGAAAATTAAAAGAAAGTATTAAAGGAAGTCGGAATCAATTGCTAAGCTATATTAAACAAAAAATCAGGGGGCTGTCACAACTTAATTCAATACTCCTCCCAGCGTTGCCAGATGCATCTATTTCCAAGTTGGATACCGATAAATAGATAAAGGTCCTCAGAATACCGATTCTTGTGATGTTATACAGATTTTTCTAATCAATATACTGCCGGTAGAAGCATAACTGTACCATGTTACAAAAGACAAAAATGAGAAAACTGCAGTTAAATTGAACAGACGTTTTGCTGCTATCGTAAAATTTCACGGAAAAATTTGGTTGTGCTTCGAAAAACTAACGTAATACAACTATTCCATAGAAAGTTTGTCAAAATTTTGCATAAAAAGAAATTTTTCCATTACAAAATCTTCTGTGATACTTATGCTGCGAATTTCTCTGACGAGTTGAAAAATGTACGCATATCTGTCCCACTGTGAACAACTTTTCAGTTGCTGCTGTTGTTATGTTTGACACTTCGTGAGTGACGGTTGGAGTTTTTTCTTTAAAATTGTTGATTTCAGTGCCAACATTTCAAAGGGGCGTAATTACATTTGTAAACAATGGATTTAGCCGTCGATTTCTCATGGAAAAAAGCATACTCATGAAAGTTAATGACGCTTCAAAGACACAGACAGAGGAATATTTCATCTACCAGCTAGCATTGCTAATTTGGAGGGGTGTGCATTTACTTGCGAGATATCGATGGCTAAAGCCAATGTTTACAAAAGCAATTACGCCTCTTTGAAATGTTGACACTGATTTGAATGTGGACCGGAAACGTCTGCCATAGAAAATTTAAAACAGTACGGTGGTTCCAGTGATAGTGATAGCTATTAGTCTTTAACGAGACAATTGCTCCTGTTGGCGCATACGCACGATCATTTTCAGTGTCTGCATGTTCACGTTACACGCACAGTACACGTTGAACTTATTCAAGCCTCGCCCGTACGTGGACATCATGAGAAAATTGTTTTTTTTTCTCAAAAAGGACGATATGAGCTAGGATACGCAAGCAACATCAACAACCTTAAATACTGCAAACTATTTTGCAAGAAACAACTCCAGCTGATCGCCAACGATACGTTCTCTACTGCAGCTAACGTACTCTAGTAAAGGTCTCCTCGTTGAATTGAAGTAAATAGGAAGGTCTCTCTGTTGGCAGTTGTCGTACCTGTTATTGGAGAAGACGAAACATCCAGAGTGATTTGAGATGTCCGGAGACGAGTAACGCGAATAAAAACTAGTGATTACATATAACAGTATCTACAACCAATATAAGAGTCCTTGAATGAGAACCATCAGTTCGCCCTTAAATGTTCTCGGAGGCCCACGAATTTGGAATAGCAATGGTTCTTAACAACCCATTATTTGTAAGGTTCCCTTCAAAAAAAAAACCTTAATACATAAGGTTAAAACTTTATCACACAAACGTTCATGTAAAGTTCCATAACCATTTCAGTTAAAGTTTAGCAGGGATTATAAACATTTTTTAAGCATTTTGGGTAAGGTAAAGTAATTGTTCGCATTAGTGTGGGGTGCGCTTGGGCCTTTACCATTGACAAAGCTGCATATTCAAGAAACCGGCGGTTGCTCTACCATAAACAGCCTCTTTATATTGAAAGTGGTTTAAAATACGCAACCGGAATCATTCGAAAAGTTTTCTTTCACCATTATAACAAAGAGGAATAGAACTTTCAAATGTTATACGGTTATCAACCGGAAACGTCCGGAAAATTAACTTATTCAATTTTAAGTGAATTCTATAACATTTCATTAACTGCTTGTATGCGTATGTTCATGAATTGGCAAACATCAAACTTGTTTATTTGCATTCCATATATACAAAGTGACTCGACTAACCTTCTTCAACAATCTCCACGTCGGTTTTGTTTGAAAATTATGCGACAACGCTTGAACGATTGACGTTAAATCACTAAATGAGAGTGTTACGTTAACACACATAAAAACAGATTCTAACCCCTTTTGAATGTACAACACATAATAAATTCAATTTGTATGTTTGGACTACCCTGCGCTTTGGTCAGAGAGCGTATAGGGCGTCGTTGTGCCAATTTGGTCGTGGCACATTTCGAGTATGAGAGAGTGATTGCAGTTTGCTCAAAAGTGCCTGAGTAAAATGCAAGTATTTTCGATGATTACCCGTAGTTGTTACAGTGAAGATATACACACATATTCTCGTTTATGTCTGGACGTGTTTGCCATATAGAAACATTTTTATTTGATTTTGTGTGGTGGATGGGTTTCGGGCGTGGACAGGCATATGGGCGATAATATTAAGTTTACGTTAGGATAACGTTGAAACATTGAGAAATGTATCTTACTTACTTACTTAAGTGTCCTGAGCGCCATCCCTGGCGCAAAGGGCCAACGTGAAAGATCTCCATCCTGGGCGATTGTTTGCTTTCGCCTTGACCTGGGCCCAGGTCAAATTCCGGTCGACTTGCTTAATCTCCTTGTTTAGGCTTCGCCGCCATGAGCCCCTGGGTCTGCCTCTGCTGCGATGTCCGGCTGGATTCCAATCCAGCGCTTGTTTGCAGATTTCATTTCCGCTCTTCCGTAGAGTGTGGCCAACCCACCTCCACTTACGTTCCCGAATTTCTGTCGATATCGGCTTCTGGTGACACCGTCGATGGAGCTCGGCATTCGAAATCCAGTTGTGAGGCCACCAAGCACGAATTATATACCGCAGGCATCGGTTGATGAACACCTGCAGCTTCTGTGTGATCTCCGCTGATACGCACCATGTTTCGCTAGCGTACAGCAGTACAGATTTCACGTTAGAGTTGAAAATTCGGATCTTCGTGCGGAGACTAATCTGATTTGACTTCCAGATGTTTCGTAAACTCGCAAAAGCAGCCCTTGCCTTCTTGATCCGTGCACCTATGTCACTCTTGGTTCCGCCGTCCGACGCTATCTGGCTGCCAAGATATTGGAAACTTTCAACCTTCTCCACTTCCTGACCAGCTACCGTAAAATTGGATAGATTTCCCGTGTTGATATCCAACGATTTAGTCTTGCTGACGTTGATGTTGAGACCTGCCGCTGAGGAGCGTTCGGCGAGATCGTCGAGCTTACTCTGCATGTCAGAACGCCGTTGTGATACTAAAGCAACGTCATCCGCCAAATCTAGGTCGTTTAGATGCTCCATTGTAATAGGCTGCCAGAGCAACCCACGGTTCGGCACACGGTCGATCGCACCAACCATTATCTCGTCGATTACGATGAGGAACAGTAGCGGTGATAGAATACATCCTTGCCTCACTCCAGCGACTACCCGGATAGGGTCAGATAGGGCTCCGTTGTGCAGCACCCTGCACGTGAAAGCCTCATACTGAGCTTCGATGAGGTTGACGATTTTATCCGGAACTCCCTTGCGCCTTAGGGCGCCCCACAGGTTTTCGTGGTTGAGTCGGTCGAAAGCTTTTTCGTAGTCAATGAAAACCAAGTAAAGGGACTCTTGGAATTCGTTGACCTGCTCCAAGATTATGCGGAGCGAGACAATATGGTCCACACAGGATCTTCCAGCACGGAATCCCGCCTGCTGCCGTCGGAGAGTCGCGTCGATCTTCTCCTGTATCCGGTTGAGGATAACTTTGCATAGAACTTTGAGAACACAACACAGTAACATAATGCCACGCCAGTTATCGCATACAGTTGGGTCCCCCTTCTTTGGGACCTTCACTAAGACGCCCTGCATCCAGTCAGCCGGAAAAGTCGCGGTGTCCCAGATATTGCAGAATAGTTGATGCAACATTTGTGCAGATAGCATGGGGTCAGCTTTGAGCATCTCTGCTGATATGCGATCGACCCCGGGAGCCTTGTTGGATTTCATGGTTCGGATAGCAGCTTCGATCTCCGGTAGGGATGGCGCCTCAGAATTGACGCGAGTGATGCGTCGCACTCTTGGCGGTTCATGCCGAGATGTTGATGGCTGGTTGACCGACGAAACTTGTAGAAGCTGTTCGAAGTGTTCAAACCAGCGTTTCAGCTGATCAGTGGGGTCGGTGAGCAACTGACCAGTCGCGTCCTTCACTGGCATCCTAGGATTCATCCTTGCTCCACTCAGGCTTGAGAAATATATCGCTTCAGTTTAAGAAGCACTTCACTTCGCAACCGATGAACCATTCTGACGGCCCACATTGCCGTGCAAGCGCCGTGTGTTGGCAGGGTCCAATATTGGACAGTTTGACGTATATAAAGTACCATCAGTTAAAACTGTATTTTTGAACTTTATCTCTATACAGTCTTAGATGTTTCTTAGTAGATTATCATGTTGGTGTAAGCTGATTCAAAGAGTAAATGGTATTAACATTGAGCTGTCCATAGTTGGGCGTTGTTGAACTTCTGGTACTTGCGCAACATTTCATCTGAATACCAAAGTAACCATATAATCACAAAATAGCTTTAGGTGTGGGTTCAGAGTGGTACAATGTCACTGAGATATGGTTAGTTGGGTATTCAGATGAAACTATTACTTTAAAAAACTAATCCTGGTTGTATCTCTTTTTCGTTTTTTCGTTTGCATGTAACACTGTTTGATATTACTAACCGCACCGAGCCTTCATTCCGGGTGGTGAGTGAACCTGAAGAAGAAGAAGAAGAAGACCATAAACCCCTTCTCGGAACGAGTGTTTTGTTAGTGGACCTGGTCTGCTATTCAAGGTTGGACTCTGTGATGATAAGTATCACATAACAGGTAAAGTAGGCAGCACCATCTTTATCGAAATGTAAGTATTATTGACAATAATCATAACTAGATTATATACAATACAATAATACAATAAGTATTATTGATAATAATTATAACTAAATGAAACATAAATGCATATTCATCAGCACTCATTCTCTACCAATTCTGTTTTTCAATACCTTTTTCTCTCCTTTCTCTTATCCTTCATCTATGCATCTACGCTTCTATGTTAAGGATCACCTAAACCCTCATTCAATATTCGGCTGATTTCAATCGACTCGCATAAGTCATTATCTAAGAGCCATCTTATCTTTATCTATCTGATTGCTGCATGGAAGGTGTATAATTGGTCACCAAAATTACACTGGCGACCAGACTCAATGCCCCCTCCAGCATGACACAATAACAATAACAATAAATAACAATTTGTATGTTTGGACTTATGATCAGGTTATTTACTCATCTGTGAGTCGACGTGACTCTCTGTCAGTTGTGAGGTGACAAAAACTACGTCGTTGTGGATCAAATCAAATGGACAATTTTGTTTTCAAGAGTTTGTCCAATGACAGTGACTGCAATCAGAACATAAAAAATGATAAATATTTGTTTTCTTACTAAACAACAATGTGATATCCTTGAAATGAAACAATTTCTTAGCCTTCATTTATTGTAGATATTTGACTGAAGTTTCATAGTTGCTAGAGGTTGTTTTTATTAATAGCTCATAGATAGGTAAACCCATTTCAGATCATTTAGCGTTCCTCCCTTTATCTTTTTTTATCTAATACTAAATTTGCACGTGTTGTATTTGTTTTCTTTGTTCTCTAAAGCCCTACAATATCGAAATTTTAATTTTAAATTGCACATTTATTTGGTTTTCGTTCTTATGTTGGAATCATCAGGATCATCGAGAATTAGAAGTAGTGGATGTAGTAGTAGTAGTAGTAGTAGTAATAGTAGTATGGAGCAACAATCCTCCTAATGGATGATGTAATCTTTCAGGAAGTCTTCCTGAATATTTCTGCAACGAATTACAGTTGACTATTGAGTTGATAGGGTATCGTTTCAAAAATCAACAAAACAAAATTCAAAATTCAATCGCTGGTAACGAAACAAGGTCCAAACGGAAGTAATTAACATTTTTTTTTTTTGCAACGATTTTTACTTACTTGGCAATAACTAAACATTGCTACTAGATACAACAAGCTCTGACATCTACACAACAATAAATATCGTTCTGTGGTTTTCTGTTCAAATGCGAGATAAGCTACTCCGACTACGAAATCATGCAACCTCCGTTAGTTAAGTGAAATGCGATTCTTAAATCTTCAGTTTCATATGAGATCAATGTGATATTTTACATTTCTGGTCTACAGGATCAAAAGAGTGATAGCTCTTTGTTGAAAAGAGGTTTGGAATGTTTTTTTTTTACCACAACTTATTGTGGTAGAATTTGAGATCGAAATGTCCATGGTCGGTCAGATGGCTACTGTCGGAACCCTTCGAGTGGACGGATTCATTATCGTTGTCCCCGGAAAGACTGTTCCGCGTACTTGACTTCCCGATCGGTCGATTGATCTTCACCGAGCCGAATCCTTCGTTCTCTTCCTGGTCGAATTCCATTTTTCCGGATGGAGTCACAGCTGCTCCCACTCCCGAAGACATGTTCTTCAATCCGGTGTGTTGCTTTGTGTAGCGCATGGGTTTCTTCAGACCCGGATGTTCCGGCGTCTGTTGCTGGCTGATCGATTGGGGAGAAGCAGAATTTTCACGATTAGTCATCATCATCTGCTGATCCTGGTGCGGAATCTGTTGCTGTGGCGTTAGTTCGAGATGATGCGGATGGAAGCTGTACGGATCCGGATCAGCGGAATCTGGAATGTCAGCATATTCATCGGCAAATTTCACTTCTTGACCCGATTTGTGGTGGTGTTGATGATGATTATTGGCCTGATGGTCAATGTAGTCGGCTGGCTCCGACATGGACAAATTTTTCAAATTAGCCGATAGGACCTCCTCAGCAACACCGTCATTGCTGGGTTGTGCTTCCGCATCTGAATCATGCTGCTGCTGGTCATACTCGTTCGAATCAGGATGATTATGATGATGATCATGGTCATGATGATGATTTTCGTACTCATTATTGTTAGCAGTAAAGGCGGAAGTAGCTGGAGGCGCATGATGGTTGTTAGTGGAAGAGGAAGTGCTGTAAACACAAAGTGACAAACCGATTTTGGTTGCGTTCAAACTTGGTTAGTAACTACCGTTAGCAATTGTAAGTATTCTACTAGCATTTGGGTGGTGATATTATTAGAATATATACCAATAATTTTCAATTATATAACAATTTTGTAAAACAAAATGCGTGCAATTTATTAAGTATCGACAAAACGAAGATGACAAATAATATAAAAACTGAATTGAAAAATCAATTAATGTAGGCAAAACAATTAATATTGCAAGAGAAGCCCGTCTTCTGTTTTTATCTATTTCGTTTAAAATTATGATTGCACAAATGATTCGTAGCGCTGGGTGGAAAAGATCTTACAAAATAGTCAAAGCATTTTCTATACCAAATAAAATTTAAAAAAAATACTCCATAAGGTTCATCTCACGATTGGTTGGTTCTTGGTTGTCCTCGCGGGGAAGGCCAAAGTAAACTCGGATCACAATAATTTTACGCTGCCGGGTCGAGAATTGAAACTAAATCGAAAACCATAAATACGTATGCTAATAGCTATATCCGTTGTGTGTTTGTGTGAACTAAATACGTTTTTGCTGGTGAAGTGATGGAGTTCTATATAAAATTTCTGAAATTAAAACATAATGGCGAAATTAAAATGAAACCGATAAAGAACAAAACAAAGCTAAAAGTTTACTAAAAACAAAGTTCATCACGCTACACTTACCTATCGGGCTCGGTTGATACTGCCGTGGGACTGTTGTGAATTATCTGAAATAGGAACGAACACAGAAAACTGTTATTATACTGGAACGATTGAGGTAATTTCACAGTGGATAAGCAATTTCATTATTTTCCACCCACAAGATAGTAATCATAAAGTTAAGCACTGAAATTTTGACACCAAAATAATGATAGGTGTTGTATCGAGTAGCATTCATGCACGTTATGTTGAGAATTGCATGCATGCATTAAAATGATTTGATTTGCGCGAGGAATATAGCAGGCACTTATATGCTCACTTTAGAGGAAAATTACTTGTACGCTGTCCCAGTGCCAGTGCATGAATTAGTTTGCGTCCAAAGCAACCGCAGAATGGGTAAATTACTTTGTCCCAGTTAGAATGCAAGCAAAAAGGATTCTTAAGATGGTCTGATATGACGGCAAACAATTTATTGCATGGAAAACAAACGAGCAAACCTAACGATTCTGCTTGAAGACCGAACGACTGATTCTACAGAACGATATGGATGTCTGATTCACATGAACTATTCATAGTGGCTGAACGAAAGACACATAGTAATATTGATATTTAGCCTAGTTCTAAAGAGATCCTTCAATCAATTTATATAAACCAATGATAGATTCTCTTCGCCAATCATTCAATCTATTTCGAATTATGGCGGTATGAGTGAACATAAGGGTGGCCCAAATTAACACTTTGTTTGTAAACCTGGGAGCTATACATTATCAGAGCTTTGTAAAGCCTTTTGATAACATTCGTACTCCACCTGCTTCTACATAAGATTAGATCTAAGTTTACTATATATTCGGTAAGATGCGATGGTTTCTTCAGTCGAGTATTAGTACAAGCACTGAAGAAGTCTGCACATAGTATAAGAAATACGCGCATCTGTCAATTACTAATCCTTCTCTATTTCTTTGAACGCGATGTGTGAACGAAACGGTAACCATTTTGATATAAATCAGTTTGATTCCACCCACATGCATTTTCTGTCACTACACTCTAAAAAATCTTCACGTTCGATTTACGTGAAATATCACGCAACTGATCTGTATTTAGACAATCTCAAATGTTACGTGACGTTAGTAACTTTGACCTGAATTGCACGTCATGTACACTAAAAATGTTGGTGAAATCGACCGCATATTAATGTAAACAGATTTGGTGTATTTGTGTTTGTGTGTTTGGGACTTCGATATTTCCGCAAAACGGGATTTACGTGATTTTCAGGTAGGCAAACAAAATCAATATGACGTCACCGAGCGTGGTGGAAGACACCTCAAAGATTCAAAATTTTCCAGCAGCTTGCTGCAAATATTGGACGGTAATTTGATTCTTTTACATTAATTGACAGACAAACAGACATAACGCATTGAATATTTCCCACTGTAAAACATCGTCGCTAAAACATTACCGCCATCTGTTCAGTATACTGTGGTGGGCACTACACTGAACAGATGGCGGTAGTGTGTAAACATCAAACGCAAGGGAATTGACTATGCGCGCCACAGGTGGCGGTACTACCAACTACGATACTTTCAAATTGTCCGTTAAATGCTTGTTCGATGAACAACTTGCGAGTGTTATGTCTGTTTGTCTGTGTGGATATGTCGCCTTTTTCTAGTTTTATAATTTCAGACGGTGGCATCAGCATTTTGAGTCTGCAAACATCGCTGCAAACAGTTGTTAAAATTTTGTCAGAAATAAAAAAAACTCATACACGTTTCTACCCGAGGGAGACGACTTTATCTACGATGCAGAATAGATTGTGTTTTGCTCTGGCTAGCAGCGCGCACGCTAAGTAGATAGAAAGAAGATTGATGACGATTCTGAGGATTTCCTGCAAAAAGATGATGCGCGATACAAGTAGATGCGAGAAATTAAATAAGATTTTTTGAAGATTGATTCGCTAGTGCGCATCTAGACTTGAGATTTAGATGTGTCGCCCCCTCGTTTCTACCTCGGTTTCTACCTCATAATAATCAATTAGTCAATAATTTACAATTTTATGAGCAGATATAAGCATTAATTTTAACACGTGGATTTTATATCTGCCCGATAAAATTGCATAATATTGACTGCTTCTATATATACTTTCCATTATTATCATTCAAAATTCACATACAAATTACGTGAAAAGCATTTTAAACAAAACGGAATATCACGTAAAAGTTACCAGTTGTTCAGTAATTTTCACTTCGATTTCACGCAAGCAGTATGTGAAAATCGGGTCTTATTTACTTGAATAATCACGTAGATAATCAAAGCTGGATTTTGATTGGCTACGTGTCATTCCGGTAAAAGTTACGATAAAAATAGGGTGGACGAAAACCACCTATGTTTTCACGTAAATCGGACGTGAAGATTTTTCAGAGTGTAGGATGCTTGCTTAATCACCAAAAGTTTCTCCTTAAGGTGATTCCTTGTAGAGTCCACATATGGCCGCTACGTAGGCGATAAATGCACTTCCACCTCGAATTTGACAAGTTTTGTCAGTTTCATTGTAGTACGTGTCGTGGAAGCTGATATTTGTGCACTAATGTTTCGAAGTGGTAGCAAGAATAAGGATCTCACAGCGAAACACCTTAAAGGCTGGTACGCAGCTGAAAGAAAACGGAAAAGTAATTTTTGAGGAATATTCCCAAAAAAAAAAATTTTACAGCTATAGGGAGGTGTCTTTTGCTAAATTTTGAGATCATAGGGGGGTGTCGTTTAATTATAAAATCAACAATTATCAGTTTGTATGTTGTTAAAATGCATACAAAACATAGTTTTTACAGCAAACGTTAAAATTACCTAATGGAATAATTGATCAGACCATTATTCCGCAAGGAAAGTGAAATTGCATTCAGAATGCGCCACCTTCATGTCGATCAAGATACTAATGTAATCGATCTTTCCTTTACCGATTTCTTTTGAACTGCGTACTGGGTCAAGAAATGCTAAGGAAAAGTAGTTTCTTTAGCATTCCGTGTCCTATCCCGTAGCACGTAAAAACGTCATTACTTTTCAGCTGTGTACCAGGCTTAACATGGCAATTTCCACACCCTTATTAGTTGCTTTTCTGACTGTTTTAGGATTTTCCGCTAGGGATAGATATGCAATCGGTTCCGTCTCCTTCTTGCATATGAAACAGTTATCTATAAACCTGCAAAATATATTTCCGGTGCGCACGTCAAAACTCAGCTCCGTTGAAAATTTGTTCAGGAAAACACGTTTAACCAAACGCTGACAACCCGATTTTTTCGTGCCTTCAGCGCATCGGAATTATATCTTTCAATAATTTCACTTATCGGTAATTTAAACTTTTTCTCATTCATGACTTCTTTCTCATGGTTGGCGAGTGTCTACGGTCCATACACATTTATAAACATTTGTATTGACGGTTGTCTATGCTGGAAGAAACCTGAAACCTCTAAAAAAATGTCAACGTAGCATATGAACAGCCCCAACCCATTTTGTTGAACATCATCCGGTTTACACAGTGACGCAATTATCCACTTGGAGAATAAATTTTGTCACAACCAACAATGCATAGCTCTATTCAAAGATGCAAAGAGATTTATATCAAGGCTCTGATATTTTTGAGGGATTTTAACCTTAATGGATATGCCTATTAAATTGTATGAGGCTAGCGAGATCAGTCAGAGATTCCCCTGATATTTAAAAAAAAAATCTCTGAGATTCCCTAAATGTCCAGGTCTTAAATGGAATTCCCTAAAATTATCCATGTAGTCGACACCCTGAAGCTCTCAATTAATAACTGTGGAAGTGCTTCAAGAATACTAAGTTGAGAGCTGGCAAAACTCTCGAAAAAGAAGCAAATTACAAATTATTGCATGGCGCGCCCCTTTGTCAGACAAAATTGGATTCCTTAGCAGCAAAATTAAGGTATGACACCGATAATGACCATGCATCAGAACCCTAGTCTTAACCACTTCAAACTAGGGAACAACGAATTGAAGATTAGGAATCACATAGTTTCTTGTTTCAAGATCATCCTCGTCTTGTCACTATCAACAAGGCATAAAAAGTAACAAGGAGTAAGATGTGTTCCTTAGATTACTGAAAAATCCTGTTCCCCTAGTTTGAAGTAGTCAGGACTAGGAATCGGTGGTAGATCTTACATCCCGTAACGTACCACGAAAAGGTAATCTACCCACGTTACGGAGCTTCAAGAATACTAAGTTGTAAGCTGGCAAACTCTCGAAAAAGAAGCAAATTACAAATTATTGCATGGAGAATAATAAACGAACTTGTCATCATCATTAACATCAAAATCACTGTAAATGATTTCTAATGGTTTTAAAACAGAAAGCAGCATATGCTAAACTTCCCCTACAGGCCAGGTGAGGAAGGATGCAAACGAAGAACACTTTCCCTGATGGATGTTCTACTTGAACATGACGTGGCTAATGATCCTTCCATTTGATGCAACCATTGCTGTAAAGTGATGGTCCTTTGCACCAACACTCAGGATTGCTCAGAATGCTTGAATGAATGAGTGATTGCTGTACATTGGATGTATCCATTTCCTTGTGTGAACGTATCAATTTAATGCGCGATGAGCCTTTTTTTTTTGTAAATCGAAAATCAATTCTATGTAAGTACCTATTTACGTGCCAAGCCTGTGTCGTCGTCGTCGTCGTCATCATTAGCACGTCAGTGATGACCTTGTGTGCTGGTGAATTTTTAAAGTAGACTTGCAAGCAGCAAACCACTTAAATGAAGCGAAATCATGCGATTCTGCTGTGAATATAACAACGGAACAAAGCATGCGGCAAATGTGACACAATTTCGCCGCAAATTTTAAAATTAACACTGACCGGCCACGACACGATTGGCCTACTATGACTGGCAGGAAGAGGCTGACACGATAGGGCTAAGAAATATGCATTCATAAAGCCACGGAAAAAGGATTGGCTGGCATTGACTCGAATGGAAGCCAAACAGGGCAAGGTGTGTGGGCTAGTTTTTTATAGGACAAAATGCAGGTCATTGTCCAGCAATGCAGAGAAAAAAAGGTCCTGCCATGCGTCGCTTTTCAAGTGGGTTAGCTTTGCTAGGGAAAGTGGAAACTATCAGTTTCACTTTCTATTTCATTGGTCAATGTAGAAATTGTTTAGGGACGCGCTTGCACTGGTGAACGGTTAAGGGCCACCCACATTAGATCCGTTTGCGTTGTGTTGACTCGTCAGATTTTACTTTACAAGGCCTACCTAAGGGTGGGTCAAGTTTGTATGAAAGAGCAATGGGGAACAGGTAGTTGTAAAGTTGACCCACCCTAATGTACAGTAAATGCCATATAGTCAGATAATTCTGGAATAAGCTCTTGATTACCCAGCGGATCTTGGTTTTCTAATCAATTTTGACGAATACACAAATTTAAAAAGCGATTAATGTATGGAAATATATAGAAATGTAAAATACACCTGTCGTTCATACGGACTCTAGTAGTACGTATTTATGGAACTCCAAACTTAACAGAAGATCTCTGCTTAACAACTTTTCCGAATATGGCAACTTTCTCGAGACGATCAGGATTTCGAGTAGATACAACATGTTTAGCTAGTTCACAGTGGTTTATGACTACAACTATTTCATTGAACAATTCAAAGAAGTATGTAGTATATATATGATGCACATAAATAGAGCGACAGATTTTAGATACCTAGAAATATTATAGATTTTTTTTACTTTATTTTTAAGATTTTTAGCCAGTACATCTCGTCCATGAAAGATGGGGCCTCAGAAGGAGGACCCCCAACAGAGTAGTTTTTTATAGTGTTTACTTCAACCGAAAATTGGTTCCTGGCTCGATCGTACATTTACACGACATATTAAAGACACAGCATTAAAATCTGAATAAGACAGAGCTCCACACCGGGGGAACCGGGAGGGCCCCCACCAGGCCGAGATGTCTCAACAGCCGAATGGAATTAAAAAAAGACTAAACTTTAAAGTACAATGCAGCATCCTTTAAAAAAGCGCATTACTGCTGCCAGTGTGGAGGAATCATCACCCAGAAGGTCGCGCATGGAATTCTCGCAGGTTCTGATACTGAGGGCATACGGCTGGAGTTCTACAACCTACGCAAGTCCTGTGGAACGGCGTGCGAGATCTTGGTGTGACTGGTCCTCAAACGCGACGCTATCTTCTGATCCCGCTGGTTCAACTGTTCTGTCCATTTCCTCGTCGTCCCTTTGATCCGTCTGATGAAGAGGGAGCGGTTGCGTCCCAAGCTTCCCGTACTTTGCTCACGATCCAGCGCTTGACATCGTGTAACGGTACTTCGTTTGTATAGCGAGGGGCAGATGGTCCTGCCTTAGCCAGAAAGTCAGCTTCAGAGCTGGCTGGTATTCCGCAGTGCCCCCCCCTATTTCAGTTACAGTCCTTTTCATGACCACCATGACCATGAATTGTCTCCGGCTTTGAACCTGTCCTTAATCCGGTTTTTGATTTTCGGTAATGGTGTTTACCAGCATTTGTCTCCTTGCAAGTAGATCCTGACCACTGGAGGGAGATCTTCGTTGGCAGCCGTGCGGAGGAGATGATCCCTTGATTTCCGGATGTCTTCGAGATGAAAGCAGCGGCTTTGGTTGCGATAGCTGCGGTTATACGGAAGCGGAAAGGCAGGATGCCTGCGTCGATGCATGCAGCGTCAGCGGGCGTGGATGGCAGTAGGCCAGAGACAATCCGGACGTAGATGTTGTAGACTGGTGCTAACAACGTAGCTAAAAGCTTATCCGTTGCTATGCAGGTCATCTCCAACCCGCATAGAAGGCGACTGTTGATAATTGCACTCGCCACGTCGGGAAATGGTCCGGATGAGATTCACTCGGTTGCGGCAATTTTTCTCGACTGCATTGAACTGCTGTTCAAAGTTGAGGAATCGGTCAACGAGAACTCCCAGAACTCGGACTGTCTTCTTCAGCGGTATGGACTGGTCGTCGATTTTGATCGGTGGTCCGCTAATTCTGTGTCGAGAAGGGCAGACATGGCACCTGATTCTTTTAGAGGCTGATAATTCAAAGCCTACTGAGTTGGCTCACCTGGCAACGGCGGAGACTGCCGCTTGGACTCTCATCCTTGTACGTACTGGCGTGGGTCCGGTGGTGGCGATGAGGATGTCGTCGGCATAGACGAACACATATATGTTTTTCGGTAGTTGACGGAAGACTCCGTTCATCGCCACGAGAAACAGGGAAACGGCGATAACCGATCCGAAAATCCGGGATTTGCTGTTGCCGACTGCGACTCGGTATGAGCGGTTGGACAAGAAGTTCCGGATGAAGTGAACGATGGATTCGTTAAGACCCCAGTCGATTATTTGCTTAAGGATGAGGGTTGTCCCGTTCTGTTGAAGGCCTTCGATATGTCGAGCGATACTATCTCGGTGTGCAGGCCACTGTCGTAGACGTTCTTGAGAACTTCCCCTAGGGTTGCAAAGTAGGTAGACGTTCCGAAACCTTGTCGGAAAGCGTGCTGTCGGTGATCAAAGAAATTTTCAGCTTCGAGGTGTTGCTTCAGTCTTCGATCGACCATACGCTTTAGGACTTTTGCCATACCACATGTTAGCGCTAATGGACGGAATTTGCTGACTTCACGGGTGGCTACCCTGGCTTTCGGGATGGGAACTACCAAGCTTTCCTTCCATACTGCTGGGTACCCGTTAGTGAGCCAGAGCTTGTTGAAGAGGTCTAGCATCCGTAGCTGTCCTGGTACCGGTAGCCTCTTGAGTAGAGGATATCCGATTTCGTCGGGTCCCGCCGACTTCCCATTGCTGTAGCGAAGGGCATGCTGCAGTTCATGCCAAGAGAAAGCTTGGTTTATACCGGTACTGGCGGTGTCGGGGGGTACTAAGAAGTCTGCGATGGATGCGGTCGATGACTTGGTTTTCTGCTTGAACTTGTTGTCATACTTGTCACTTGGTTGCGAGCTCGGCGAAGTAGGTACCAAGTTCATCAGCTACCGTTTCCGGATCGGAAACCGTGGAACCATTAACCTGGACGTAAAGTGGTGTCGTGCGTCGTTTGCGACTAAGGGTGTTGATTCGCTGCGTTCATCCCTTCCAGGAAATCCATTCAGCGGGATCGCTTTTTTCCCCGGTACGCTGCTGGTCTTGTGGATGGTGGCCGTTACTGCCTCGTATATGGCGTCCGAGAGGTCCTCGATATTGTTCGGGTTCCGCTGTAGTAGTAGAGTCTCCACAGTGGCGCCGTAGCTTTCCCAGTCCGCTTGTTCACCGCCATCGCGGCCTCCGTGTTACCACCGAGACGAAGGTCGCCGAGAGTTGAATTTGTATGGGGTAGTGGTCACTGCCGTACAGGTCAGTTCCACTGCGTTTTACCAGCGATATGGCGACTGGCAGCTGTTACGTCGAAACATTATAGATTGACATTTCAAGAAATACTCAAAATATGGTAGCAATTTTTATTGCAAGTTTCTAATTTTCCTTTTCTAGAAGAGATCAAAAAATAAATAAAATAAAGCAGCAGATAAAATTTAAATAAATTATTTTTATCAGACACCTCTCAATTGCATTTGGAATATATCCGGAGCATTTTTTTTTCTATAACAAAATACTGTTGAAAAAATAACATAACCATATTTTGATCATATCCTTAATACATAAAAAAGAGGTGCCATTTAAAGAAAAACCAAAATCCCAATCTTCCCCTAACAACAAATTCTCGAGCAAATCGCCAAATCGACGTACGAATTTTTGCTTAAAATGTGGACTTTTCAGTTTCGACCCTAATTTAATTGCTGCTTAGGTTAATACCCAATAATTGTAATTTAGTGAAACTAATATCGTAAGACTTGATTTTTATGGATGTTGACTGTACGTATCAAAATCCAAGTAGCTGTAGAAATTTTGGACACACTTGAATGTGCACAAAATAATGTTTTTTTGCCTCATAAATACCTTGGTTAGGTTTATTTTTTGCTTGCACATAATTTCCCAAGTTTGCTCCTGTTATTTAATCAATCCAGATAAAATTCAATTTACCCTTGCTGCAATCACATCAACCAACCTCAACGAAAGAAACCAAACTATCAACCCATATCTCGGCAAGAAAACATCGCCAAGGATTCTTGCTGTTCCCATTTTAATTTATTACTCCATTTAATAACCCACAACCTACCGAAGAAGTTAAGTGAGGTGTTCCACAATCCAGCATGGGGTGGTTGGTTAAAGTTAAATGGCGTGCAAGGTTTTCGTTTTTAGAAGGCGTCAAGATTTGCATTTTAATAGCTTTCGGTGTGGTGGCCAATGTTCTGCCAGCTGTTATCACACTCAGTTCCAACTTTCGTTCAACTATTCCAAAAACTATAAAAAGATATAAGTTAAATCCTCTTTTTTTTTGTTCTCCCTTAAAGCCACGAACAGGAGCATATAGCGGAAGTTAGCTTGCCGAGTGAAAATAGTTAAGCTTTCCGTGAATGGAATATCAATGGGAAAAATGGTTAAGCGTTTAGAGCTTGTTCATGGGTTAAAGCGTGCAAGGATGTTTATAATTGTCATCAAATTTAGTAGTTGATAAACGTTAGAAGGCGGTTTGTTCTGTTTTAGTTACCTGTGCCATACTGCAGGACGGTCGTTTTGCCGCATAGCGACCCACCGGGGGTTGCTGAACGACTGGCGGGGATACGATCGGTTGACGCGTTTGCGAACTGGACCTCCTCTGGTCCCCGACGCTGGTGAATGTGGGCCCGAAGAGGTTCGTGTTAGGACTGTTGTTGGTGCGAGGGGGTTGATTGTTTGTTGATTGATTGAAGTGAGGGGTTAGAAATAAGAAGGTAAAGCATTGTGAAAGATTAGCTACACAAATTGCCGGTTACTGGCTGAGATTATTGTGATTAAATAGAAAAACGCGCCCCATAAACTCTCCTTATAGTTTTCCGTTGAAACGTAAAGCACCACAAAGTGTTAATTTCTTGGCGTGATTTTCATATTTTATATTTGTTTTCGGTAAAACTGCGATGGACTTACCTAGCAGTGATGTGCATACGGCGACCGTCGATGTCCGAAGCATGCTCCTTGTTGGTGAAGAAACCCTCGTATACGACGAAATTGTTCATTTGTGGTATCTTCTTGTAGAGTCCTGGAAAATGGAAAAGTTGGAAAACGGAAAAAGAAAGAAAACCTTTAGTGTAAAATTTACAATAGTTCGCTTGCTGGCATTCTCTGCTGGACGTAGTTGTGGATAATAAATTACTTCCATGGGGTATTTAGTCAGAGTGTGCCTTGCGTGACGAGCATGAAGCGAACGTGTTTGTTCAGTTGGCCATATGTACGTGTCTGTGGCATGGAAACACGCCTCCTGCGATCTAATGAATTTCTTCCGGCCAGTGCGGAAAAGTGAAACAAATATTTGCCTTGATAAAACGGCGATTGCCATCCCGTTTAGATGGACGAGGATTGCTCCTGTTCCTGTGGCTTGCAGGATCATTTGCCAGTCAGGTTGCATGGTGTTTGCAGCGAAATTCTCTGTGTGAAAATTAGCGGTAATTACATTGACAAGGAATGCACCCGTGGTGTTCAATTACCAAATGCTTTAACAGTCTTAGTCAAAAGTAAGGTAACTTAACTGGGTGGTTTCAGGGACGAACCAGTGCAAGGTAAGTCTATTTAATAAAGAAAAATGAAAAGAAAAAAATACTGAGTGGTGTCCGATTTCGATTCGATTAATCAATTAACAAGATTATCAATTCCGAAAATGTTATATTTTGAAATCAAAAGTCTTCTTCTTTTTGCTTTATTTAGTCCTTCAGGGACTTTGCTTTTCTTCTTCATGGAATATTTAATCCCTTGTCAAGCAAAATGTTAAGAAAATAATTTATTAAAGTACTTCAAAACACAATTTAAAAAAATCAAAATATGTTAAAATGCAATTAACTGTATTTTCTTAAACTTAATAATGCCAGATTTATCTTCAGTAACACAATACATTTTAAAAGCAGGCTTCCAACCGCTAAATATCACTAAATAAAGTATAAAACAAATCTGAAACTTAAATTGTTTTTCCTATTTTCTGGAAGATGAATATTTTTTACAGATTTTATGGTTAGCAATTTTTTTAAAAACCTGAACCAAACTTGGAGAAATTTTCAGGAGTCTTTTAAAAAGATAAATATTCAAGATATCGAACATTGAACATTTTCCAAGACTCCAGATTTGAAGAAAATATTAGCTTCATGACTGAATTTGATGAGAATATTTTCATGGAACTTTAGCGATAATTTGAAAAGAATTTGGAGGACAATTCCAAAATTGTGAGGAAAATTTCAAGTGAAATCTAAGGACTGGGTTCAAGGTAGTTCTGAGGAACTTCAAATTTCAGGTAAACCTAAAGTGAATTCCTAGGTAGTTCTGAAAAGATTTTTTTGGGAATTCTGAATATCATTCAAAGGAAATTTTGCAAAGAAATCCGGAGAAAATTTTGCAAGAGAATTCTCATGATAATTTCACCATAATTCTGAGAAGAGTTCCAATGAAGTTCTGGAAACATACGAAGGCAATTATATGCATAATTCCATGACACTTTTCCGGGAATACTTAGGAGGAATACAATTAAATGTGAGAAGAATTCCATCAGAACTTTGGAGGCCAGTTCCAAAAGAGTTCTAACTAGAATTCTAAACTAATTTTGAAGAGAATTTGCGGGATTTATGTGGAAAATTGCAAGTTAATAAAGAGAGAATTCCAATATTGTGAGTAGAATTCCAAGGCAAGGAGAAGAATTTAAAGGAAATTCTGGAAATATTTCAATGAAAATTCTGAGGATCATTCCAATGGCATTCTGAGGAGAGTATGAATAGAATAACGAGATAAATTGCAAGGGAATTGAATTTCGAGGAAAATCCTGATGAATGCTGACGTCTTTAGTGAAACTAGTCTATTAGTACAAGACTCTGAAGAAATCTGCACATTGTAACCGAAATACGTGTACCGTATGCGTGATAATGTTTGCACCATCGTACAAATAAGGTTCCCGTTTCACCTGTATCCAGGCATTGTATCCTTGGTTTTCTTTGCATGCACGTAACCTATAGCTCATACCGTAGTAGGCTGTGTATAAAATAAAATGATTTACTTAGTTTGACAGTTGCACCATGACGAAGTGGCAGTGTATTCGTGATTTTTGTCCCACGTGCAAATGTCGCAAAAAGACATTTCAATCGCCATGGGAGTGTCCCGGTGGACCGTCCAAAGGGTTTTAGACCGAGAAAAGAAAGGACAACTATCCGCGAAGGTGGCCACAGGTCGTCCGAGGTCAGCTCGGGTTCCTATCGCTGCTATCAAAAGGAAGATTCGGGTGAATCCAGTGCGTTCAATACGGAAAATGGCAAAGGAACACGGGATCAGTGATTTTACGACACGGAAGATCGTAAAGGAAGATTGCTGGGTGAAGTCGAGGGCACCGAAAAAAATTCACATGATTACCAACCGCATCCGGGAGCTACGAGTCGAACGATGCAAGAAAATCTTGAACTTCCTTAAGCGAAAAAATCTGGTAATCCTGTTCACCGACGAGAGCATGTTTACCGTCGATCCCGTATCAAATTCCAGAACCGACCGGTATATTAGTTCTCTTCCGGTAAAAGACGTGGCCGACGAGCACAAGAACGTGTATCTGATCAAGCATCCTGCTAGCGTTATGTAGAGATAAACTAACCTATGGCTAAAAATCTCTTAAATAAAGAAAAAAAATGCTAGCGTTATGGTGTTTGGATTGGTGGCTTCCGATGGCAAAAAAATGGACTCGGTGTTCATTCCAGAAGGCGACCAGGTCAACACGGAGGTCTACATCGGGATTTTAAGTAACTATGTTCTTCCGTGGATCAAAGAACAGTACGGTCCGAAGCCAAATGTTGTATTTCAACAACCTTGTTTCCAAAGTCCTTTTCGGTTGACCAATGTATATACAGTCATCTCAGTATTATGGGCCAGCTAGTCACTATTATGGGTCAGTCAGTTCTGCGTGTTAATCAAATGGAAGTGGCCCCTAATTGTGAATGACCCATAATACTGGGGTGACTGTATTATTGCTACTGAATACTAAATCTAGGCCAAAACTTCTAAACTTTGAATTCAAAGGTTTGGTCATGTTTTTGTAGTAATTCACCGGTACCAGTTACTGGTGTAAGAGTTGTCAAAGTACGCCTAAAAGGTTCCTTGTTCTTTTATCGATTACTACCTGAATTGAAATCTCGATACCCATTAAGTCTAGTGGTTTCGAAAATATGAGCTGTTTTCTTTGATTTGCCTGTACTCGGAAAAAAATCCGTTCCCGAAAACGGGAACGGACCGTGAACTAAAAATCACGGCCAACTATCCAGAACAAAATTTTCTCAAATATACACCGTGAACTATGGTTCACGGTTGTGGTTCACGAATATGGGAACTCTTTTTTTCCCGTGATCGTTGAATACTTGCTGATCTTTAGTACCTATTGATTAGTATATAAGTCTTAGATGAACGATAGATTCTTCAGTGGTGTTGAGTACTTGGTACTGATGAAGTCTGCAAATAGTAGACGAAATACGCGTATCTTTCAAAAGATAAGCAATTATAACGGAATTAAAAGGAAATAATCAACACACTTAAAAGTGTATTTAAATGCCTGGAAAATTTACTTTGAAGTCCTGGAAAAACTTGGACAACCCAAGGCATTCTATTTAAAGCACAATTAGTAGACACCCTGGTCTACTAAACGATGCCTGCATTAAGAAAAAAACATCTCTCTAAAATTCAAACGGAACTAGCGAGTGTGAAGACCTTACCTACTTTAGCAACTTTGCATAGTAGTTTTCCTAATAAAATATCAAATCTAGAAATTAATTTGAAAAGACTCATTTCTTTACCTTTTTTAATTTTAGTTTTCTAAAACCTTCTATTTAGAAGTATGCCTTGATTCTTTGTTTTTTGTGTGGTTTATGACGCTTCTTATGCGCGACTCTAAAGTTAGTTTTCATTGAACGCCTTCCACAGTTATTTATTGTTAGAGATGAACTAGCCTAAGGCTAAAAATCTCTTAAATAAAGCTTTAAAAAAAGGGTTTTTTATAAAGAGCTTTTCATGCCTTGTGAATTTGAATTTGTTCCAAGGGAAAATTCAATAATTACGTAAGCAGTTTTTTAGGATTTTTTATAAGATTGGGACGAATGGGCCATCAGGCTAAAATTTTGATGATTATCACAGCTAAAAGAATATTTATCAAACTCCAACATCTCTAAAATGATTCTCATATTCAAAAAGTCGCAACATGTTGACAAAAGTTGGCAAGTCTCTGACAGTTAAATAATCTACGTTTTTTTTTTCTAAATGTATGAGTATTTATCTGATCTCTTAGACCCAGAATCATTGCGAAAACGTTTCAAGTATCAGAATCTTGAAGTTTCTTCATCTCTAGAATTTTATTCGACATCCAAAAAAAAACGAGTCTGAGATGTCGCGATTATGTCTACACACTTAGAAGTTACTACCGACTTCGGTATTTTTTACCAAACTTTCAACAGCCGAACGTTCAGTAAAACTTTGACCCTCAATTCAAAAGCTGTTTCACTAAATTTTAATTTTGTAAACACTGTCAGCCTTGTTTAAATAATCGCCATTGTGGTGAAGTTTCCCTTGTTTTCAAGCCTTAAAATTAATCCCTGAGTTTTACCGAACGGTTCAGCTGTTGAAAGTTCGGATAAAAGTACCGAAGTTGGTAATAATTTCTAACTGTGTACACACTTAAACTAGCTGCAAAATATCTGTTTGTTAGCTGAGTCTCGGCAATTGTATTACTGAATCTTAGCAAAATAAATTGCAGAACTACTTAGTTATTGGAATCTCGACGAAAAAAATTAAGCGTGTAAGCTCTAGCATGTTGAAACATGCTTAGAATTAGATTCTAAGCATGTTTCAACATGCTAGAGCTTACACGCTTAAATTTTTTCGTGTAGGGTGATTCGAAATCGATAAAAATTTAAAAGTTCTAGATGATGCTATTTTCTGTAAGTATCATGATGGTTTTTAGTCACTAAAGTTCTTTCCGGGATCTTGAAAAAAACAAATGTATGTTTCTTATCTTAAAATGTTCCCCTAAACCTTATGTAGACACTTTCATAATCCTAATTTATTTTAGGTCCATGATATCTTTAACCAACCCAACACATCTTCCATCACTAGGGTCTAGAAAGCTATAGTTAACCCCTGCTTGGAAAATCATCTTCCCCCTGCTGAAGACGTTCGACAACCCTATCTAACATCATTTTCATCATTACTCACCATAATGCTTCTGCAGGAATCCGAGCAGCTTCTCCGACGGCCGGTCGATGGCCATCTCCTCCGGATGGATGTGTTCCTCGCTGAGCATATGTTCAAAAAGCTCCCGGCCCAGTCCGCCACGTTGTCGCGATTCATGCACGTAAAAGTCCAGTACGCACGGCGCCGTCACGTTAATCGTCTCGCCGTTCTGGTCAAACACGTACAAGGATTTGCGACCGACTTTCAAAATACCGACGACCAGTCCACTGTAATGATGGTTCACCAGAAAAGAAATAGAAAGGGAAACAAAGGATATTGTAGAATCTGTTCCTTCTTTGTCCTAAAGCATTTGCTTTCGTGCAGCATGAAAGCGAAATGAGGACGCGGCACGCAACGGTTTCCATTTCTTTTAACGTGAGGAAAATTGAGCTAGTTTTCCCTTTGCCATTCGGTCATTAGTTTTAATAATTTTACTGAAGTCCTGACCTGGCCGATAAGGGAACCCGCTCAAAAGCAACGCACATTTTTTCATACTTACTGTTTCTGATTCGATTCAAACATCAGATAGATGTGGTGGTCGGAATTGCGAAGCTTCTGTGAGTTGGTCACTGGATTCGATAGTCCCTGTGCTTGTGCAGACAACTGGCCGACAAAGTTGATGATTTCGGAGATTTGTGCTGTGGCATCGCTGCAAATGAATGAAAAAAAAAAACAATAATAATTAGGGATAATTTGATGCTTTATCTACGAAATCTAATTCATCAACAATAGACAATTAAGTCCCATTTGCTTCGGAAATATCGTTCATATTTGGCCGCAAAACCGCAACCGCCCACAACGACCTATCGCATTGTTTTCGATCGATTCGGTTGACTCCAAAAACAACTGGCTCCTAACGTGGGAACCAGTTATAAGTGGACTACGCGATACCATATTTGGGGTCACCGCGTATCGGTCGTAAATTAAAATTGTACGACCAAATCCGGAATCGGCAAGCGGGTGTACGTTTCCGTACTCTAGCATAAATTGATTGAGGGATCGGACGTTGTGATATCGGATCAGAATATACTGCATTCATCCGATAATGACGTGGCGTCGATGCATTAATGAGCCATTAACGAAATACAACTCTCAAGTAGAGTTGAGACGAGATGAGATAAGTTGACGCGTACGATAGATCTGCCATTTTTGCTAATGAACGAGGTGATTACAGTGCAGATTGTTATAATTCAAACTATCCGCCGATAACCGGTATCGGAGATGCCAACAGTGATAGCCGTGCACGCTTTTCACCACTTTTGGGTTTTTTTATTGCTATTATAGTGGAAAATGAATCGAATTATTTGCGGAGTCAGCAGAGTTGTACCATTTGTTGTTGTATCGGTTACGCTGACTCCGGTTCAAATTGAATTGAACGCGGAATTAATTAACTTTGAAATGAGATAAATAGGAACGAGGGGAAGTCCCACAGCTGGATTTCTATTTGGGGGTATTTTCTCAGTCGTTCCGCCATTTAGAAATGCTCATGAACGATTTTTTTTTTAGATTGTTTTGAAAACGTTTCGATGAAAGCCATTGGAAGATTTGTTTTGTTCCAATTGGGTCGTTATTGATAAACTTTTTTACTGGGTTGTCTTCTGACATTCTTACGACGTGCCCAGCCCACCGTAGTTGCCCGATTTTTGCGGTGTGGAGGGGTGGTTCTCGTAGCAGCTGCTAGAGATGAACTAGCCTAAGGCTAAAAATCTCTTTAATAAAGTAAAAAAAAAATCGTAGCAGCTGGCGTAATTCACGGTTAATTCAGCTCCTCCACGTTCTGTTTTCCACCTACAATCCACAGTAAATGGTACGCAACAGCTTTCTATTCCTGTTTCAACTGGTGGAAACTACTAACATTTGACAATATTACAGATGTTTTTGAGCCACAACAAATGTAAAACGAGAATTTGACAGCAATATTAATGTCAACAAACCGCCATTTTGATCCAAACAAAATTGAACTGTAGCTTTGATCGTGCTAAACGTGTTTTTATAAAATTAAAACCAAATGAAAGAACCAATTTTTTCTTAAATGAGCAAAATTTCAGCTCATTTGCTTCATTGTTCTTATAAGTATAGCAGTTTGAAAAAAGGTTCTCAAATAAGAAGAGATGTACTAAAACTCCTCTAGATGCCGGCAGACCCAATCGATCAAACCCAAAATTGTACAGATAAACCTTAAATATTTGTTCAATCAGTAGTCAACATTTCAGGAATTAAGAGATGAACTAGCCTAAGGCTAAAAATCTCTAAAATAAAGATTTAAAAAAAAATCCAGGAATTTTGATATCGGCTCAGAAAAAAAAATACCCCTCTTTGAGAATGTTTGAAGGGAATCTGAATTTGGGTGGAAAGGGGGGTAATTGCATTTGTAAACAATAGCTTTAGCCGTCAATTTCTCGCGAATAATAACTCACTCATGAACAATAATGACACCAACAGATAGATGAATGTTTCCTCTACCAGCTAGCATTAATTTAAAGGGGCGAGCTTTTAGTTGCGAGAAATCGACGGCTAAAGCCATTGTTTACAAAAGCAACTACGCCCCTTTGAAATGTTGGCACTGAAACTTTTTCATACAATATTTTTGATTTATTTTATTAAAAATAAAATTGTTTTTACTATACCACGTGAACTTCATATTTCATTGTAGTAGGAGTTGATTGCATGCTTGGTGTGCTCGGCCTTATAAAGGGTTAAGACTGTCAATTCTTGAAATTTGGTATGTGCACGGTTGTGCTAGAAGTTCTCAAATGATTGATTTATTTATTGCTCACATAAAGGGTGTTGCTTCCAGTCCCTGCGCTTTGGTCAGAGAGCGTATAGGGCGTCGTTGTGTCAAATTGGTCGTGGCACATTTCGAGTATGAGAGAGTGATTGCAGTTTGCTCAAAAGTACCTGAGTAAAATGCAAGTATTTTCGATGATTACCCGTAGTTGTTACAGTGAAGATATACACCCATATTCTCGTTTATTTCTGGACGTGTTTGCCATACAGAAACATTTTTATTTGATTTTGTGTGGTGGATGGGTTTCGGGCGTGGACGGGCATATGGGTGATAATATTAAGTTTACGTTAGGATAACGTTGAAACATTGAGAAATGTAACGCTTCAGTTTGAGAAGCACTTCACTTCGCAACCGATGAACCATTCTGACGGCCCACATTACCGTGCTGGCGCCGTATGTTGGCAGGGTCCAATATTGGACAGTTTGATGTTTATAAAGTACCATCAGTTAAAATTGTAATTTTGAGCTTTATCTCTATACATTCTTAGGAGTTTCTTAGTAGATTATCATTGTGGTGCACGCTGATTCAAAGAGTGAATTGTATTAACATTGAGCTGTCCATAGTTGGGCGTTGTTAAACTTGTGGTACTTGCACAACATTTCATGTGAGTACCAAAGTAACCATATAATCACAAAATAACTTTAAATGTAGGTTCAGAGTGAGAAAATGTCACTGAGATATGGTTAGTTGGGTATTCAGATGAAACTATTGCTTTAAAAAACTAATCCTTGTTGTATCTCTTTTTCGTTTGCATGTAACACTATTTGATATTACTAACCACACCGAACGTTCTTTCCGGGTGGTGAGCGAATCTGAAGAAGAAGAAGAAGAAGATGACTATACATGATGAGTGGTACCATGACCCCCTTCTCGGAACGAGTGTATTGTTAATGGACCTGATCTACGATTCAAAGTTGGATTCTGTGATTATTAATATCACATATAAGGTAAAATAGGCAGCATCATCTTTATCAAAATGTAAGTATTATTGACAATAACCATAACTAGATGATATTCAAATTTATACGATAGGTACCTGGATCAACGTTTTTTAAACATGCGCATTCAATCGTAACGGCAGCTAATTCTGCATTTTTAGCCTACCCAACCCTCTTCCTTTCTACAATCCCTGAGCAGCTGGTTGACCATAAGTGTACCTTGCAGAACTTTTTTAACCCCCATGGGTAAAGATGCTGTGTTGCTCACTCCTCTTCCCTTCCCAGGTGTATTATGGATGGTGTGAATATTCACATCGGTGACATGGCTCCTGACCCCCTTGTACATCATAAAATGAAAATGAAAATTAGATTAGAACTGCAAATCTCAATTCTGGGGTGAAGTTGATCATGCAAGTTTTAATGAAAAGCAATATGCAAAAAACTGCATATTTTATCGCGAAGTAGTTAAAAATATGCCTAATATTGACGAAGGCTGAAAATCTCTTTAATAAAGTAATAAAAAAATATACATGCCTAATAAAGGTAGACAATTAGTATAAGTTTTTCACATAACATCATTTTTATAATACGTTCATTTGATCGAAATCTGATTTCAATTTCGAATTCAAAGACTCACAATAAAATAAAATAAGTAATTTTGCCAAACACAGCACCACAGTGAATGCTGATTTCGAGGAACAATTAAAATTTGCATATTTTATTACTTCCGCAAACTTCTACATTTGTCAGGGAAAACGTTTCAAAAATACTATTTAACACTATTTAATGAAATATTGAAATAAATTATTTCATTACAATATCGTGAAAAAGGATTGTTGAGAATCGAAAATTGAAACGTAGAAGGTACGGTACACCCCATTTCCCCGATTACAGCAGAAACTGATGGGTCGTGGTAACTCAATATGATCACCAGTTATCATTTCTGGATCAACAATAGAAAAGGGCCCATCAGCATTTGTAAACAAACCGTTCCAAAGCCCATTCTTCACAAATCGAAGGCCGCCCACACAAACCAACACCATCATCATGTAGGTAGAAGTGTAGAAGTTTCCCCTATCCGATGGTGGTGTTGGTTTGCGTGGGTGGCCTTCGCTTTGTGAGTAAAGGGCTGTAGAACGGTTTACTTACAAATACTGATGGGCCCTTTTCTATTGTTGATCAAGATTTGTTTACCCTTCTTACAAAGATGTGTATACTTATCGCTTGGAAAACCGACTTTCGATCCGAGGCCCGACTAAGCTCGACGAGATTGGATAATGTATGTGTGTGCATGCAATGGTGGAAAGTTCATTTGAAAAAAAGTTCTTTCGCAGTTCTTCAGATAATCATTTCGCTGAAATGAGAATAAATGTTCCCGAACGAAATGTGTGAAACAGTTCAGCATACGATTCCGAAAGAGAATTCCGATATTGCTGTCTCAACCTATTTCACAAAAAATCGAGAAACGAGCTAGCTGAGGTTCTTGTCTCCTATGTCATTTTTCGTCACGGAGTAGAATTAAATTGTCTCGTTTTATTTCTGCCCTCTCCTGATGTTTTCTTTTTCTAGATTAGGTGTTATGGTTTATGCATGAAGAAATTTAGGTTGCATATATGTAGGAGCTACCCATGCGTTATAATTGGTGGAAGTATACATTTAGGATGCATTTAATACACATTTATACGAGTTTCGCTTTCTTTTTTTCTAACACGTGTTTCGCGGCAACCATTGAACTGAATTGTACGCAACAACCACCAAATGAACGCTTTTAAATATTTATAGAATCGGTCTACTAGTTCCGGAGATATGGACGGAACAACATCCGAAAAACACGGATTTAGGGAACTAAGTCGTATTTCCCGTCATCCACTGAACCCCCCAATAGGACACAACAACCACCAAATGAAAGCTACTAAGATCAT